AAATCCCAACTGTGAGCAGTTGAAAACTTTCAAGACATCTTTTCACACATAAAATATACCTTTTTCCTGCTTTAGAATGAACCTGAACAAATGCAAAACGAGAAATGTACAAGTCAGAAGTTGTAACCCTCTCTTTCCCACAACCTATCCACACATGCTCCGGGATTATGAAAGTGCTCATTTCCCACGTGTGCAATCCTAAGACTCCAGTCAAGGACCGGTGACTCCTGCCCTTGAGCAGGAGGAAGGACTGAGCTGCAATGCCTACAGTTCCCCTTGCATGGAAAATGTTAGCTTGTTCTTGTTACTAAAAAGGAAGTCAGAAATTCCCCCCTTCCAAGGTGGTGATTTATAAGCAGAAGAGAAGTTGAATCATGTGGTAAAGCTAATATTAACCTAAACAAGCTACTATAATTTGGGTAGGGAAGTCTTCCTGTGGAAGTGTTAAAGCAAAGTGAACAGACAATAATCCCAAAGCACAGAGGCAGGAACTTCTTCTTTTCTACTCAATCCAATAAACAGAAGTGAAGGAGTAGATGGCAAGGGCACTGTCTTAGTGCTCACTGCTGGATATGTACCCAATTTTTTTTAACCTTTGACAAAAGTGTTACTTTATACACTTTGTTATGGTAGGATTTTACATCCCAGGGATAGCATTTACCCCTTAGAGGAGGAGATACACCAAAGACTCCCTGTGTACCCAACTATATATATATATACATATACATATATATATATATACATATACATATTGCTGAAAATACCACAGGATCTTGGCAGTTGATCTCATAACTAGCATGGCTACTAAGTGGCAGGTAAGGTAAAGACATGGAGAGACTGGACAAAGCGGTGATTCATGTCCTGGGTGGGGCAGAGCAGGAGTGTGACATCTCATCAGAAGGGCATACAATTAAAATCTTATCAGTTGTTGATTTCTAGAACTTTTTGTTTAATATTTTCAACTTGTGGATGACCACAGTAGCTGAAACCACAGAAAATGGCACCTCAAGGTGGAGAGGGCCACTGTAGTATTAATATGTCAAACCGAATAATTCTTTGCTGGGAGTGGGCTGCCTCTGTTGCATAGGCTGCACTACAGATCTTTGGCCTCCAGCTATTAGATGCCAGTCATACATAGCCTTGTCTTTGCCCAAGTTAAGAAAACCAAAAATGTCTCCACACGTTGTCAATATGTTTTATGGTACAAAGTTGATCCCAGCTGAGAAATGATGTTCTAAGGATGGACTCTTAGCACAGCTATCCCGGAACAAACATATGTAAAATGTATAATCTATATATTTTTACTGTGGTTGTCTCACTTAATACTTCATTCCAGTTGTGTTTGAAATTGAAATTTGATAACAATGATGAAATTCATCACCAACTCTTTTTGTTTATTTTACGTGTTTGGAGACGGGGTCTCACTTCACAGTTCAGGCAGGCCTTGAAGTCACTATGTAACCTCGGCTGGTTTCCAACTTGTTGTGCTGATCTTCCTGTCTCAGCCTCCTAAGTACTGATGTTTCAAGTCTATACCACCACACCAGCTACATCAACCACTCTTTTTATTTTATTTTATTTTAAAAATAAAAGGAGGAAAACATTAACAGACAGACAACCTTTTACAAAATAGCAAAAGAACAGCACAGACAACACAGAGTTACAAACAAAGTGGTACGAAATTAACAATGCTTGTTGTATTACATATTGATATCTTCAAAGTGGTTTCTCATGAAAACAGAGAGAGACATACAATATTGATCAATCAAGAACTCATTGACAGTTTCTTTCAGCAAAGAAGTAGAAGACAGTAGAACAACTATGTTAACTATCCTGTATATACATACATACAAAATTTCCCCTTCTTTCCCTTCTCTTTTCCCCCATCCCAGTTGCCCTTTACCCTTGAGTGTTTTCCTATTATTTCACAATGTCTATCATACCTCCTAGCTTAAATTAACTCTTCCAGGTTTTACATGCAGGGTTGGTTCAATATTCCCAAATCTATATATGTTATACATCAACCACTCTTAAAAACTAGACACATTTAATTACTTATAACAAGTCAAGTATTACTAGGTAGGATGTGCTAGTGACCACAAGGAGTTTGGTAGGAAACTCTAATAAAGCCCAGCGTACTGAAATAACTTTCAGTTTTATGGAATAATTTTTCCTTCTTGGAGGTGTGGTACTGGAGATAAAACACAGAGCTTTTGCCCTGGGTTACATCCCCGGCCCTTTGAATGGTTTTTAGAGACAGGGTCTTGCTAAGTCTCTGTACTACCTAAGCGGGGCTAAAACTTTCCACGCTGCTGCCTGGCCTCCTAGAGTGCTGGGATTACAAACCTGGGCCACTCCACCTTGCACTGTTATTCTCACACCATGATTCAAGGACTTTTTAAACTCCTCGAAGGTACTGAGCTGAGTCTCAGGGAGACCGGGTAGTGGATGTTTGGCTAAGAGCTCAAACTCTAGAGTGGGGCTGTTTGGCTTTGCACCCGGCTTTCCCACTTCCTAGCTGAGTAACCTGGGGTAAACTCACCCCCTGCCGTGCCTCTACCTTCCCTCCCGTCCCTGGCTGAAAAGTAGGCCAGTGTGGAGCATTCAGAACTGTGTAGGTACATTAACAGTTCTCAGTGAGTGTTAATTGTATGATGTAGAAATTTAAAAATGTTAATTGAATGTGAATTTCTTTTATCCAAGTTAGAGAAGCAGAAAAGCCAATCTATTATCTTAAAATGGAACTATGAGATGACAATTATACTACTTACTTAACAACAACAAGAGGAACTCTGGGAAACTATACCTGGCATCTTCTAGACATCCCTTCTCATCGTAATATTCTGCAGCTGGAATTTGTCCTCCAACTTACAAATAAAGCAAGTGAGGTTCAGAGACTTTAATCTGCTCAGCATGGTTCAGAAAATAAATTTGGGAGTCAGAATATTAGCTCAGATTTGTCATATTCCATCACCGATGTCCTTTTCACAATTTTATGCTTCTCTACTCCAATAAGGATGATCCTAACAGAGTAGCTAACGAGGGACCAGATATCATGAGGACCCACATACATTAGTTTATTTATCCCTCTCCTTGGCCCTGGCTGCTCCTATTACATTTTAGCTATGTGTAGCCGATCCTGGGGGACGTGAATTGACTTATCCAAGCCTATGTAGCAGACAAGTCCTGGAAAGTAAATCCAGACTCCCAAATCCTGGGCTGTCAGCTAACGTGTGATGTTGCCTGCATCCCACTCTACTGTAGAAGGATGTTGAGAGGCCCAGAGGCTAAAGGGAAGCCAGTGTCAAGAGGGCTGCCTTTATCTGTGAGGACAGGGTGTTTGGCTCTCTTTCAATGACAGTTGTGAGATGGCTGGAAGCCAGGAGGTGGGGAACAGCGCGAGGCCTGCTGAGAACGGCCACCAGTTTCCTCCTCTGTAAAATAAGGATTTGGATCAGATAATCTCTAAACTCCTTTTAATTCCTTTTACATGCAGTTTGTATTATTCCCTTCCTTAGGACCTCCCAGTGCCCCCTCTGCCCCCTCTGCTTTGGTATAAAATCCTTCTCCGGTGTCACGGTCTGCCCGGTACCACAGGCCTGTCCCTGACTTCCCCCTCTGTCTTCTCTCCCTCAACCATAAAGCTCAAGTCATGAGTTCGAGGTTCTAGGAACCCTCTTGCTCAGATCCTGCTTCCATGCTGTCTCCTGTGCCTGAAATGTTCTTACAGCACATCTTTCTTCAGTACATGTCCTCTTTCATGGCCTCTATCCCACTTCTGTTTTATTTCCTTCAGACTCTTGCTTGTGTTGGAAATTTATCTTGCTTGTGTTGGAAATTTATTTATTTATGCATACAGCCAACTGAACTCATGGGCACTCTATCCCTGAGCTACACCCTCAACCCTTTTGAGACAGGGTCTCATTAAGTTGCCCAGACTGGGCTTGAACTGTGATCCTTCTACCTCAGCCTCCTGAGTAGCTGGAGTTATGCGTATGTGCTACTGAGGCCGGTGGAAATTACCTATTTATTTACTGTATACAATGTTCATCCATCCCCCAGTATGCTCTGGGAGGGGAGAGATTAGGTTTACCCTGTTCATAGCTGTAGCGGATGTGCTGATGCCTGGAACATGCTAGCAACAAGATTTAAATGAACCAACAGATTCATCTTGTGCAGCCCGGTAGTTCATGAAAAGCATCAAGCACTCAATAGGTGCTCAGGAAAACATGCAACAGCAAAAACAGTAACTGCTGAGTAAGCTTTAATTGTTGGCTGTGGTGCTAAATCCTTTACTCACATTATATCAGTCAGTCCTCATCACACCTCCACGGGGTAGGTATCATTATGACCCGACTTTTATAGATGTGAAGCTGAATCCCAGCAAGATCAAATGATTTTCCTTCAAGCTCACAGAGCTGGCAATTTAACCCAGATACAAGACCAGTCAAAACCAATTTTTAACTGACTGGCTATCGTAAAGCAAAATTGTTGTTACCTCCATTTGGATCAATACAATTTAGTAATTTCAGAGAGATTTAGGTGGGTAGATTCTGCATGTGTCCTGGAACTCAGGCTAGGTACAGGGTGCTAGGTACCTAGAGTATCACTGTAAGCACCGTGATACAGTTACCAGCCTGAGGACCTCAGTTCAAAAAGAAAAACAAAACATGAGAGCATGGTAGAATGCACCACTCCTTGCCACAAACACTCCTCATTCCCACCAAAAATCTCAGATGCCTGGAGAACCTTCCCTTGGGCCCTACCCAAGGCTATACTTTTGCTTCTACTATATTGGATTGTATTTAGCACTGTCTCGGAAGAACTGAGTAACCATCATCTACTGAGTGCCACACAAGAGATTTATATATGTTGAATTCTTACAACCAGGAGGTGGGGCTCACTATTCTTACCTCACAAATAAGCAGTCAACAGCATATTGGGGCGGGGGACTACAAACGGATGATGACAATGGAGTATCTGATAAGCATGTGAGATCACACACACTAGGACAGAGGGATACCCAGGGGAGACCCAAAGTATGCAAAGTAGGTTACTCTCCATCTCCCTAAATATTTAGCACTATAACCGGGACAAATACAGGACCAGCTGGCTTTCTAGTTAAACATTCAATAAATCACATATATTTCACTTGGTAAAGTATGTTAACAGTATCTTTACATTTTGGGGGAAAACACAAATACATTTCCATTTTATATTTTTACCAAGATTCATATGTAAGAAGCTTTTTCTGTTATTATAATTGGGAGATAGACTTCAAGATATTTTATATTTTCCTAATATTAGATCTGTCACCTTCTCCCGCTCTCTGCAGGGCAGAGGAAACTAAGTCTCTTCAAAGATGATCAGTTTTTAAATTTAGAGCTGTTCTTCAATGACCCAATTCTCCCCTTTAATAGAAACAGGAACACGGTAAGTAGTACTTTTATTTTATTTTTTTTTTAATTATAACATTAGACTCTGGCAGCCAGTGAGCCATGACAGCCTGTGAAGAAAGCCTTCGATAGAATGAAGGTGTGACTGCTCTCCATGAAAGCTCAAAGCCGTCTCTATACACTAAGACAATGACTGTAACACCTAACAACAACAACAAGCACTTGGATTTCTCCTGGGTATTTGCAAGCGAGCTACTTCCTGCCCCGTGGTGAGCCTGGGACACTGGCCCTGACAGCACTCTACGGGGGCTCTGCTCCCCGTCTACAGCTGAGAGGAGGGAGAAGCCCCACAGTGAGACCAACCTGGTCAACTGCAGTCTGCAGTGTCTGAAGTCCGAGAGTCATTTTATAATCAGAACGTGCTCAAATTTCACCCAGGGTAGGAAAATCACAATTGGCTCCATTAGGGATCAGAGAGACAAAGATTCCCGTGGCTCTCGGAGCCTGGCTACCCTCACAGCACTGTGAGGGCCCGCCTCACGGTCTCAGAACTGGCGCCCAACCCTTGGCCTTTATTATACACCTATTCACTGCAACAAGTGACGGGTCACACAATGGGAGGCCCTCTCCTCCAGACTCACCTAAGAAACGATGCCAAGTAATTTTAAAAAGAGAACATTTATTTAGTTACTTAGTTATGGCAGTACTGAGGATGGAACTAGAGCCTTTCTCACTGAGCTACATGGCCAGCAGTTATTTTCTATTTTGAGACACAGTTATTTTTTATTTTGAGATAGGATCATGTTAAGTAGGCTAAGCGGAGCTGAAACGTGTGATTCTCCTGCCTCAGCCCCTTTTCTTAATAATTTTAGTAAGTGTTCTAAATTACGCAGAGTCCAAATTACTTCACTAGGCCCCAAGTGAGTCTATGCAGCTACAGAGCACACCCAAAATGTTCTTTTCGTCTGTGAACCGAATTTCACAGTGCCCCTAGAAATCTAAGAAGTTCTTTGATGTTGGTTTGTCTAAGAATTCTGTGATGTCAACCAAAAGACCTACAAACTCAGAGGTACACAATCCTCAGGGATATTAAAATAATAACAATCTAAACATGAAACATACTTGTGTGGAACTGATTGAAATAAATAGTACATACTGATTCGAGACTGCAAAAATTTAGTCACAATGTATCCTTTGGTGTATCTATAGATTTTTAGTTATAAGTAATGTGGTATCAAGGCCGATGCAGTTATGAGGACTACTTCCCGCTCAGTGTTAACTCTAGCATCATGCCCTCAAAGATCACGGAGACCACACAACAACCCCCCTTTGGTACCTCTGTGGCAAAGTGCTTTGTGAGAATGAATTTTCTCTCTACTTCAACAGAGCCTGGCTTTTTCCTCTAAAACACAATAAGCACATGGCCTCCAGTCAAGTGTCAAGTATCTTCGACAGTATTCTGTCTTAAAATCGCAATGGGTGAGTAGATGTAATAAGATAATGACCTTTATATCAATACAATCAGAAGTGTGGGACTGTGTGTATGTGTGTGAAGAAAAGGACCCGTTAAGCAAAAGGCCTTAGGGCCCACGAAAGTTTTAAGGGGCTGAGGCAGGAGGATCACAAGTTCCAGCTTAGCTCGGGCAATTTAGCATGATCCTGTCTCAAAATAAAAAAAATGAGAAATAATCCTGTTTTAAAATAGAAAATAAAAATTGCAGGGGATGTAGCTCCGTGGGAAAGGCTCTGGGTCCATCCCCAGGACTGCCATAACTAACGAACTAACTAAAGAACTAAACAAAGGTCCTCCTCATTAAATTATTTGGAATGCTTTCTGAGGTATGTCAAAAATTTCCTTCACCAGCCAGGGAAGGTTCTGACTTCACCTCATTGGAAGACATTCTTCCGAGAAAAGTGATTTTGGAGGCTTTGGTTTTTTAAAATCAGTGTCTTCTCAGCCAGGAA